TTTTTACTTCCAGAAAGTTTAAGCAAACTTCAAAATAGGCAGTCCAAAGTCTTTCACAGGTTAAATCAGTCAGTTTTCAGTCCAGGGATAATCCAATAACAAGTCCAGTATCAAAAAACAGTTCAGTATCAGACTTACATCAAATCCATGAGTAACAGTCAATTAGAAAAAAATGGCAAAACTCTCCAACAGAAGGAAAACAGAGACTGTCAGCCTTCAAGATTTTCTCCCTTTGCTTTGCATCTTTCGGCTGTCATAAGTAACGGGGGGAGGAGGGGGGAATGGTTATCGGAAGTGAGCTGGAGGTGTCACAAACCAGAACTGTATAAGCTGGGATGGGAGGTAGATTCTTGCTTAGGTTTCTATCCTATGCTATGCGCAGCTGCAAGTCTTTATCAAAATATGTCAAGGTCAACGGACAGAGGCCTCATCACCACCTGGAGATGCCCACATGATGATATACACAACTTTTAATTGGATGAGCCAATTGAACTATTGGGGGTGGGAACATTGCCATTACTTTGTATATGTGATTTACATGCCCATTTTCTCAGATTCAGATTTCTTTTGTTGCTACCACGTGATTTCCAGTAAAAGATATCTTTTCTCTGATTAATGGAGTCTAAGTATTTCTTTCTTGGATTTTGAATGGAGCACCAGCTGACATTATTCTGAATCTCCACATTACCAGCCCACCCAGAGAATTAATAAATTTTCTTCCGAGGGGGTCTGAACACAATGTCAAATCCAGCCAGTGACCAAGAAGACCTGGGAGCGACTGGAGGATAAGATTCTCTGCTGTTAGAGGCAGCAGGGGAAGCTGACTTGTTAGCAGAACTAAATCTTGGGGGAAAACCAGCTGTAAAACCCAAATGGTCCCTGGGAGTCGGTTGGAAGGATCCTGAGGAAAAGCCTCCTCCAGGAGTGACCACTACCCGTCGGCGTGGAAGAGAGGAGCCATGGCAGGAGAAGGAAAGAAAGAATTTTCTACTAACTCAAACCATGCATCTTCTAAATGAAGCTATCGGAGAACCTCAAACTGATCAAAGGTATGAGGGAGAGGAGGGGGAGGCAGCCCCAGCCAGAAGAATTAGAGCAGCCACCCCAAAAAAATCATCCTGGGTTAGCACAACAATCAGCAGCAGCCCAGGGCCCCCCAGTGGGGGGAGTAATTGCCAGAAGACGTAGAACTCCAAAGGTGCCTCCGTTGGAAGTAAAATATGGGGGGGGGGGGGATGCCAAGGAGTTAGGATTCTTCCCGGCACAAGTCTGGAGCCATATGGAGGAATATGGAGAGGATTTTTCCTCAGAAGCAGCCAAAGTTAGATGAATGGAAAACACAGCTCCAGCTTACCTGGCCGGTTACCCGTAAAGCATTAGATGATGCTCATCAAGCTCATAAAAAATTTGCAGATAAAAAGAGAACTCCACAAAAACCATATCAAGTGGGTGACAAGGTCTTTTTATCTACCAGATATTTGCAGACCACACAAAAGTCAAAAAAGCTTGGACCTAAGTATGTTGGACCTTTCTCAATTGAACAAATTGTGAACCCTGTGGCAGTCCAACTAAAATTACCAAAAACTCTTCGACGGATTCACCCTGTTTTCCAAGTTAGTTTATTAAAACCTGTACATATCTCCAACTTGAGACCAACTCAGGTTGATCCCCCTGTACCATTGCTAATTGAAGGTGAACAACATTTTGAAGTTAAAGAAATTTTGGATTCTCGAAAACGAAGGGGTCGAAGGGGTTGCTTGGAAACATTTTCCTCCTTCCCAGGCTGAGTGGGTGAATGAGAAGGATGTTAGAGCTCCTACACTTATCAAGGCATTTCATACTAAATATCCTGATAAACCCTAAAAATTAGTCTGATGCTGTTATATGTATATTTTCTATTACCTTCTATTTTTATCTTTTTTAGGACTAACGTCTCTTTTCTAGGAGGGCCGAATGTCAGCCTTCAAGATTTTCTCCCTTTGCTTTGCATCTTTCGGCTGTCATAAGTAACGGGGGGAGGGGGGAGTGGTTATCGGAAGTGAGCTGGAGGTGTCACAAAGCAGAACTGTATAAGCTGGGGGGGGGGGGGGGG